TGATAGCGAAAAAACTAACATTAACAATTATACACCTACATGTGTACATATTCTTTAATAAACATTTTAGGCATGCCAATACGCGTTGGCAGCCGACAGCGCGCACATTTGACAAGTGCTGAGCATGGAGCGGTTGTGAGCACTTTGGTTGCCGCTGGTGGCATACCATTATTGGTTTCCATTACTGCTGAATACTGTTTTGGCATAGAATCAAATCCGGCCACGCAAGCACGCTGCTTAAATCCACACGATAGCGGACGCACACCAGGTGGCTCTTCCGGTGGAGAGGTGAGTGCTTCCAAGACTAAAATTCACATTTTTAAGCAACGTTTTTTTTTTGAACACTTCTCTTTTATGATGCAGGCCGCTTTGAATGGCGCTGGTGCCAGTTTATTTGGCATTGGCTCCGACATCGGCGGATCTATTCGTATTCCAGCTTTATTTAATGGCGTTTTTGGACACAAACCCACAGGTGGCCTCACTTCTATTGAGGGACATTTTCCAGGTAGTAAGGATGCAGATTGCCAACAGTATCTTGCATTGGGTCCTATTACACGCTTTGGTCGAGATTTGGGTTTGCTAATGCAAGTTATAGCTGGAAAAAATGCCGAAAAGCTAGATTTACTGACACCAGTGAATACAAAGGACATCAAGGTATGCGGATCATCTTCCTCATTTTATAATATATTGTGTGTTTTCGTTTTTTTTAGTCTATATTTGACATTTTGTACATAGCAATGCGATTCAGCTTTTTTTTAACCAATACGCAGTATCTGAAATCACATGTCTTCGTCTACTGAATGCGGTTGAGTTTTCTCCAATACATATTTTTTGCGTCAAGAAATATATTGAATCCGATTTCAATCGATTCTACACTCACTTACAATAGAAGAACCGGTGTGTGTCTATCCCCTTCTCGAGGAGGTTTTCCAAGAGTTATCGCATTGTATACACTGGTAGATTTACTATGTTTAAACCCACACATATCCGTTTTGCCGCTGGCTTTAGCCTTTCACACAACATGCTCAATAAAACCTTATTCTCAAGGCTTAGAAGGTCAGTCATGGTTTTCTGCCATTTTTTATTGCGGAAAGCACCTATCACTTCCCTCTTCAGCTTTCTACACATATCTGTCCAACTTAGCTCCCGTCGCGCCTGCTCACTGCGTGTCCCTGTAGGTGAACATCTTTTTTATCTGCGACACGGTGGTATTGCTCGTCATACTATCTGTGCTTCCTTTCTCGCTGAAAGGCTTCTACTTCTTCAGCGGCGGTGCGTTATTCGCAAGAAATGTGGTTCCACTACTCACATATGCCGATTTATTGAAGAGCGCTCTCGGAGGGCAGGTGGAAGAATTAAGTAGCATATATGCTGGCCGTCTGCTGTAATTCAGCTTT